CGCCGCATCGTCGCTGTCGTACCGACCGTATCCTCGCGCGACGCGAACACTCCGAGCCGCGATTTCGGTTCGTGTCTCCTCGCGATTGTAGAATTTCACGCGTGACGCGCGGCAAGAGAGACGGCGCAAAATCCCGCGTTCACGCCCGCATTCGGTCGCCTTTCTCGGAGAAACGCGCGACGTGAGCCCCGCGGTCCTTTTTCGCCGAAACGTTCCCGCCAACTTGCGCGACGCCATCGGTCGTGTTCGCGCGATCGCGTCTCTTGCTCTCGTTGCAAGTTGGAGTCCGCGACGAATAGCGCCGGGAGTGACGCGATCGCGAGTGTTGTGTTGTGTCGTGCCAGTGCCAATCTGAGAGGAAGCGGCGGTCTGGGAGAGGCATCGGGCGTCATCGCAGTGAGCCTCAGGTGAATATAATTGTCCATACATTATTCTCATGTTAACTCCATTTCGCATATTGCTTTCGCTCTCCTTTTCGTTTACTTGATTCGCCCCCGTTCAAACGACTCGCACGGGGCGTTTTCCAGCAAGGACACAATGTGATACAGTGTAAAGGCCTTCACACATAAAATTTCGTAAGGACGTAAAACGTAAGCGTAAGAAAATTTTCCTACGCTTACGTATTACGTCCTTACGGTTGTTGCCAATGTTAAACAAGAATGAAACGATTCACTGTGTTACACTGTGCCCTTGGCAAAAAAACGCCCACGAGTACCGGCCGAAACAATTGCGCGTACGAAGTAGCAAAGGAATTTTTTGCCTGTTCTACGAAAATTTATACGTTCGCGGAAGATTTCTCTCCGGAAATTATACAGCCCTTATTCACGGTAGTTGAAATGTACCGCGAATAACGGTATTCGCGTGTATTATGAAAAAGTATTAGGCCTTTTTTCTTAATGTTGCGTCCTTCAAGTATACTAATTTGAATTTTCCATTTGTGCGTTGCAGGACGATGAGGCGTCGCAATTGCTGTGGGGTGAGTGAAAAGTAAAGTTTATCATATAATGGTAATGAATCTATGATGGCTATACAAAATTCTCAGGGAATAAACGAAATCAAATTTTCTTCGCGGTAAAACTTATTATATTTTGGTAAACATTTTATAGGATTTAAGTAAAATTTTTTTAAATTAAAAATTATCTAAAAGTAAAAAGTAAAGTAGTAAATAAAATTAAAAATTATCTACTATTCGATATTTAATAAACTAATGTGAACACCTGGGAAAAATATACTGCTTTATCAATATGATTATTAATAAAACAAACTGTGCATCTCCGATTGTACGCGGATATATTAAATATTGAGACCGTACATTACAAATGTATAAAATATCATAGATTCATTACTTTCAATGAGAAAAATATCTTGGCCTACCTAATTCAATTGCATATTAACAAACTTATATGTTTGTTCGATTAAATTTTCACCGCACTGACAAAAAAATTATTTTAAACAAAGTAAATAGATTTACTTAAAATTATTTTTTTACTAAAGTAAATATTTATTCTATTTAAATAAAGATATCAAATTTCAAGTAAGTTTGTGTATTACATTAAGTAAATTAATTTATATCATTACATTTTCTACATTTTCTACAACTAAAGATTGAGATAGAGAATAATTAAGATAGAGGAGAGATAGAGAAAAATTAAATAAAATCATTGTTTTTTTCAAATAAGAAATCCAATTTTCTTCGCTGTAAAACTTCTTTTTGGTAAACATTTGATAGAATCGAAGTAAAATTTTTTAAATTAAAATTTATCTACTATTTCATATTTAATAAATACTTAAATTAAAGATATGTATGTTTTAATTTTTTAAATGAATAATTTTCTTGAGTAAAGTAATATTTTTTTAGATTAAGATATTTTTTTGTCAGTGCAGTAACTGCAATTTTATTAGATATATTTCATCGAATATATCCACAATTTAATCGGAAAACTTAATCAGGAAAAATAATTAATTTCTCATCGGAAGCACAATTATCAATTTAACCGATAGAAATTTTTCTCAGTATTTTATTTATTTCTCAGTATATTGAAATGTATAGATTTGAATCAGATAGACATTGAATCCTGAAGATCATGCATTTATTGATCGATTTATTGCTCGTCTATGGCACGCCGGTTTCTTATTTAATATAGATCATAAAAATTTTGTATTTATAAATATAAACGGAAGAGAAACAGAAATAATCTTCTTATCGCTTGACATATTCCAAATTTATTTAACAAAAGAAATTTATGAACATTAATTACATTTATCTTATGCATACGTTTATTTTATTGTTTCATAATGATATTGATATTCATATTTCTTTTGGTTTCTGGATGGATTCATTTAGTACAAAAATAGAAGAATCCTCGGTTTCACGATGTTTATTCAATCTCATATTATATTATTTTGTAAGTAATATAAATTCGAACATGAAAACACATAATGGGCATGGATGAGCCGTGAAACAGTATTTCACGGCTCATCCATGCCGATTATGTGCATGTTCGAATTTATATTACTTACAAAATAATATAATATGAGATTGAATAAACATCGTGAAACCGAGGATCTTCTATTTTTATACTAAATGAACTTGTGAGAAATAGAAATGCGTCGAGAATATTTTTGTCTCGGTAATACAAATTTTTTCTGAGGGTGCACCTACAGAATGATTTTCCGGATTCAATGTATTGCATGGTAGTATTGTATGGTAGTATTGCATAAACGACACTGTCACACGTATATTCGGTTTTCGCGGTCGATTTTCGCGGTCGGTTTTCGCGGTCGGTTTTCGCGGTCGGTTTTCGCGGTCGGTTTTTGTAATCGGTTTTGTATCGAGACAGTTTCCTTATTAATTTTTAAATTTTATTCACATTATTATTAATTCCAAGTTTTCTCGGGATATTATTGAAATCGGTACACATGTAACGTAAAATACATTTTTTTGATATTATATTTGACTTGAGATTTCGCGAAAGAATTCAATTACAAAGAAACAATCGGTCCATATTTTAAATTAAATAACGGAGTTAAATAGCGGAATATTGAAAATATATTCGATTAATTTTACACAGCCATTTTTTACAAAGAAATATTTTTCTAATTAATTTTTTTATCGTATTCGATACGCTCGACGCTCGCTCATTATTCGAATCGAACGTGTAATATTTGTCGATAATGATAAATCGACAATGGAAAGAGTTGTCCTCTTTCCTATTGGTGTCTGGTCAAAATGTGACCAGATCATATGGCCAGGAGCGACGAAAGGTAGGTCCAATCTGGCCCAACGAAAGGCGAATTCAACGAAGTAAGTGGTCCGCATTGACCACGATATGGAATATATGTATTTATATATTGGTATTTATGTATTGGATATAAAATTGTTTTTTAAATCGGGTGGGTCTTTCTTCTGCATATTTTCTCGCATGTATGCGAGACTCGAAAAATATAATTTAAATCTCAATCGCGCACGCGTAAAAATCCAAAATCATATCCCCAATAAAATCGGGTCGCGGTTTTAATTAAAAATTTGTAGATTTGTTAAGTTTTGACACGCGTAAGTAATAAAACGGATACATAGGATTGGATATAAATTGGAATGCGGGTAGGTAGGAATTCGAGTAAGCAGGGTCAGGGGGATATAATTTGATAGTTTTGTTACAGATAAAATAATTATATAAAATTGATATTAATAATTAAAATAAATAAATGGCAATAGGAGCAATGGGAAAGACTTAAGAATATAAATTTGACTTGGGGAGGGAGAGAGCAAACGAAGATTCTAAGTGCAACAGATGCAAGCGACACGAACAAACCTAGGGTCTGTTCATTGTAGCTGACTTCTAACTGGCTGCACTAGTACAGAGTTTATCTATATCAATTCTTTAATTAAAAATGGATAGGCTGCGAGAGATTAGTTGGCCGAATACATCGATAATATTCGTCATATTTCGCGTAATTTCTATGATGTAGTTCAACGATTTTCAACATGAAAAATGAGCTCAACATACTCTGATTTGTAGAGCTCTATGAAATTACTTCGAATAATTAAATATATTAAATAAAACGCGAAATCATTTGTAACCTATCCATTTTAACATAACGGATCTATGAAATGTTTGGCAAGTATTTGTGCGTTCAGGCCTTTAGTGATTCTCCCTTGAACACAGTTGCTGATGTTACCAACACAGCAACTGTGTTTTTTATTAAATGAAATCCATCAACTAGCGCCTCGATATACTCGTCACTTGAAACCACGAATCTTTCCTCAATGGATAACACGCTACGTCTGCAGTTTTCGGTTCTGTCCGATAGCGAAATGATTTTGAATAATAATTATATGAAGTAATTTTGAGAAAAATTAAAAAAAATATATATATACATATATATGTTAAGTTTATTATGGAGCACTTGAGCTGTCATGTTCTCCAAATACTTAGCCCCTTGCGAAATAATTATTTAAAATGACAGGCATTTAAGAAAACGGCAACCTTACGGAAAAGCAACGCGAAATAATTACTAAAATATTACTGTACATCAGTAATTTCTAATGATTCAATTACTCATATACAGTAATTTTCTAGTAATTATTTCGTTACTTTTTTGCAAAGGCTAAGAAAACATATTCTCTTTATCTTCAATATTTCTAATAAAGATAAACACTTGATAGTAGTTTTAGATAAAAATTTATTTCGTATTATATTTTTTATAACGTTATATTACATAACAAAATATATTACATATGCATATACAGAAGCTCTAATACGGTTAAATTAACATAGAAATATGAATAAGAAATTGTAACTGTACAATATAATAATCAGTTTAAATCAGTAACATTTCAGCAGTAACATACATGATATCATATGCAGACACTCGAAGGAATATATCAATTATATGTAACATTATATTTAATTATGCTTAATAAATTAACGCAGCACAACTTTAACTTTATTTTTCATTACTTAAAAGGAATAAAGATTTTTATAACACAAAAATAAATATTTTCACCAATAAAAAGTAATTATTTTAATTTCACGATAATGAAAAGTATAATAGTTTTTTTGTAGTAAAACGTATAGATATAACAGACTAACGATAAGAAGAGTCTATACGTTGGATATTAATAAAACTTCAAAACTTGTCTTTTGTGAGATAAATACAAGATTATCTTATTGTTAAACGCATAGTTTCCATTTCTAGAATTATATTGTTACAAATCTTTATATTTGTTGCTCTGTATTGTTTATGCATATAGTTTGTGCATAAGTTATTTGTCGTTATTTTTGAAATTAAACAGCAGTAAGAATAAATAAATTATGCAACATAAGCGATAATAAATGAGTATAAAGATTTATAACTTTATAAATAGAATTTTAGATAATCGCAAAAGATTGGCAATAAGAAATAAACGTTATATTAATTTTATTTGTTAATGACGTGGTTTTTCATATCTCTCTTTCAAAATTGCATTACACTTTAGACATACTTGAGAATTGCAAATGCAATAATTTTAATAAGACGTTACACTCTCGATAGATAGGAATTTAATATGATTGAAATTGAAGTATTCAATGAAGTACGAAGGATTGATTTAAATCAATAATCTTGGATACAAAGTCGTATCTAGTATAGACATAAATCGTGAGCAACTGCTTCATTTTCATGTCAAATACTTCAATGTGAGTAAAAACTATCAAAAAGTTTTTGCCGTTCCAATATCACTGCCGTGATGGCTGGAAACCTTGGATTTTCTGTCTGGATCCATTGCGATCGAAATAAATTCCTCGGAAATTCTCTTGTCCAATCCCGTATAAGTCTGCGCCAGATCAACTTGATCTTCGTTGGTCGGTGACATTGTCTTTGGGGATTCGTTTTTAACTTCAAAATGCCTTTTCGTTTCCTCCTGATCTGCGAACGGCTGACGTTTGTGCTTTGACCGGAACTAAAGTCAAATATACATTTATCAATTTTTTACGCATTAATATTTTTTATTACACTATATTATTTTTATTTATCTTTTTATCTGGATATCTCTCGTTACTTGTCGAAATAATAGGATTATGTAATTAAAAAATAGTAAATTTTTATTAATCGTATTGCGAGACATTTTTCGATATGTGTATGTCTTTTATCGAACTATATTATTTTAAATAGTTATATTAATTTGCCGAGGTGTTGTCAAGTCCTGATTTTATGCGTGTTCAAAAGCTCACCATTTGAGATTGTGGTCGTCCAACATACGGAGACATGTGGGACAACACGGGCACAGCACCGTATGGCATCGGTGTCGAAATCGGAAGAGATCTAGATACAAATCCCCCGGGAGTCGATGGCATACCATATGGTGGCTATAATAAACACAGCCTATCTTTTATATAATTCATATTAAATTTCACTCTTTCACACAGATTCTACCCTACTTTAATCAATACACTTTGAATATATCCAAGCGATATATTGAATTATTATTTTTCGCGAGATTCGGAAACAGTTTAGAAACGTTTAGTAACTCGATAATTTAAAAACTCTAATAAAAAATTGCGTGAGAAATCGAGATAATGGGAAAGGGGAAAAATATAAGATAAAAATATAAAAGACAGTTGAAATACGATTGGCAGTAACCACAAAGTAAAAGAAGACAGGTACTTAAAAATCTTAATATCAGAGTTAAACTCAACAAAACTAAACAACACATAGGAAACGGCCAATGCGGGTCTAAGGCAAGAGGTAGCCTATACCTTGTAATTTATTAAAATCTTAAGACGAGAAAATAAGTGAAGTATAGAAAGAAAGAGTCTGGAGGAGAACAATGGGGATAAGAAAAGAAAGAGGGGAGGGAGGCGAAGAAGAGGTGAGAAAGAAGAAAGGAAACAAGACATGTAAGGGGAGAAGGGGTCTGCCCTGTCCTAGTAAAGAATAATTGTGCCTGTCGAGGTCGTGGGAAAAGCGCTTACCTGAATCATCGGATGCATTGGCACCGGCATCGGATGCACCACGTAGACAGGTGGCTGTTGGCTTTTGGTCGGCATATGATTTTGCGTGACGACCCACTGGTGAACCATATTGCGCGTCTTCAGGTGACCGTCGATCATCACCTCGTCGGTGGTGCTCGCTCGCAGGCAGCCACATAACTTCGGTGTCAAGGTCAGGCAGCTATAACCGGATACTAATAGCTCTGCCACGCTAGCCACCAATAGGCCAATGCTCGCTAGCAAACCCGCCAAGCCGTTATCTACTTCCATTACGTTGCTGTCATCACCCTGAAGCATACAGCGAAGTTCTTAATCCACAACTTAATAAGATTTATAATTATAATAGCAGTTATAGTTTAATCTTATAATAAACATTACAAAAACCTCGCGGTCTTCTGGACTATCTATACTTCAAGTACCACACCTTAATATTCTCATGCAGAATAAAAGATAGATTTAGTATAAATAATTTATTAGTACTGTTTCCTCGAAATGCCGTTTGTTTGAACATTAAACGGTTGAATCAAGAAATAATCGTAAAGAACGTACGGAAAAAGTGAGAAACGATACGTCCGGCGCCCTTTGTGAATCTCTGACGACCGCTGTTAATGCCGTTATAGTGGCCATATTTGAGAGGGCAAGAGCGATCAAGCTGGATGCGAGATGAGCGGACGAAAAGGCAGAATTGGTTTTAGTGGACGATGCCGCTAATGTTGCAACCACTCCTAATGCGCCAGCAACTAGAGCGGCTGCACCTGCCCAAAGTCCTGCGCCAGATCCACCTAAGGAAGCACCGTGGACGAGCACCAGGATACCAAAGACGACTAAAACAATACCTGCAAAAGCGCAAATCTTTTTATGCAACGATAATCCAATCTAAGAATGAATTTTTCACTAAACAGATTTCGTTCCAAGGGTAATAAATTGATGGTGGAATCAACAGATGACGTCTGTTAATTTAACAGAAATCTCGCTATCTCATATTAGGAGCCTATATCATAATAGGGGACTTTTCTCTACTTAATACCATGATAAATATATTATAAATAAAATAGAATACATATATAATAATACAATATACTGAGATTTACCGAAAAGATCCAATTATAAGTATATATTCCACCAGAAACCAATATTAACATTAGCGTGATAATTAATGAAATTATCGAGAAACTCTTTTACATCGAAACTTACCGAGCAGCAATTGTCCGCAGGATGTGAACATGAGCAAATTAGAATCGTCCTTAGTTTCGGAATCTGCCCGTAGATCTTGTTGATCCTCTGCGCGCCTCGACAGCTGATGCTGTTGCTGTAGCTGTTGCTTTTCCGGGATAAGGACATCTTTTGAGTGCTTTGACTCTAGGTAACTCTCCGGCTTTAGTTCTGAATTCACCGAGTCCTTCGATTCCTTCGAGCGACTTGAATGTTGACTTCTCACCGTGGAATCAAGCGCGATAGTCGCTGCGTCTTCCATGATTTTTCCGGAGCAAATCAATCGTACATTATTTACGTTTTTAATAACACCATGTCCCACCGAATTATTACTTTCGTTTAATTTTCTGCCTTCTCTCGTTAAATGATGTTATCTGCTCACGATGTTATTCAAGATACAAGGTTTGGTAATTGATGACAATCGTTTTCCTATCTACTTGTCAAATTTCCTCAATTTTACGTTCTCTATCAAGCATAGCCTTGCGTATTTTTGTATGACGCGCTGACTTTAATTTAATTAAGGATATTCGTGTCTCGTTAGTCGCCTTTTCTTCGTTCGCACATCCCTCAATTTTATGTATCTTGTATTTCTATTTTATATACAGGTAAAAATGAAGATTCGATTGTGTAGATTATCTGTCTCTCTCATTGATAAATTTACTTCCCTTCAATATTTTTGAAAGTCAGTAATTAAATCTTTTATATCATTTGGATTGCATCATTTGTATGTGTTATAGAGAGTGATTATAACTTGTCGATTAGTATCACAGCTCGTTCGTTCCAAAACAGATTATTGATAATCACTGATGAGACTGGCAATGCTGCATTTATCTGGAAATAAAACAAAAACTCTAAAAATTATAAATTAGGCAATTAAAAACAATTTATAAGTATCAGGAACAAATTAGTTAATTTCATTTTAGAACATATACAATATAGCTACAACATAGTGTTTTCCTGAACTTGATCATTTAAAATATCTTATATTGCTATTCTTATTTTGCAATTTTTTTCAAAATTCATCTTTAAAATTACTTAGAACTGACTTTTAAAATATGACACCCTGTACATTCGTACGTATATGTGATGAAAAATACATACTAAAGATAGTAAAAGCATGAGAATATGTTTAATGATCTATTAAACTACAAAACAAATTGTAATTTTAAACAATGCTATGAGAATAATCGGCCGCATGTTCTTGTATCAAATTATGAACAGAATTTTCTCATGCTTTTTAATTATATACGAATTTAATTAACTTAATGAATAAAATCTAGGTTATTATGGGCCTATAACCGTGAGCGACTGATAAACGAGAATCATTTACTTTATTCATTTTAATTTATTTATTTTATTCTACTTTGATCCATTTATTATATTTTTTTTCAAGAAAGATGTACGCGATTATCAACGGTAAATTGCCAATTTAATATATGTATATACAGGTGTCATTTTAGAGAAATAAAATCTTTACAATAGCACATGTGTACATACCAAGGCAGGGATTCATAGTCAGATCTTATATGCAAGACCGTCTTAAAAGATCATCTTTAGATACTTCGCCAATGAAATGTTCCATACAGCAGCATCTCTAGATAAATTCAAGACTGTCTTGAATTCTAAGATCCGACTATGAATACCGGCCTAACTTTCAATTCTTTATAGTCGCGATACTGTTTTTGTCTTTCTATTGTTTGATATATTATTGGCAGACGGCCGACATTTATAGAATCAATGTCGTACGTAACGACGATATTCTTCTTACGAGAAAGTGCTATGCCGCGCATCCCTCTAGCAAGAATTGCAGAATTTGATAAGCTTTGTTTTCTGACACTGAGATACCGACAAGACAGATAGCAGGTTTACAACGTCCAAATTCAAAAATCTTTTTTCGCAACGATTACGCGATCTAACAATCAAATGTCCATTAAACAGATTTCACTTCAAGGGCAATAAATTCATGGTAGAATCAACTAATGATGTCTGTTAATTTAGCGGAAACTCCGCTGTCTCCTATTAGGAGCCTGTCTCATAATAGGAGGTTTATATATCATGAATATGTACATAAAATTTTTTTCATTTTTCTCATTGTAAATACATTTTAACATATAAACTAATTAAATTCGTATACTAATTAAACCATTTTATTCGCTTGATTTTATTTTTGCCTATACTCGTATGTATACACTGAGAAAAATGTCCGATTGAATATAATCGGATAATCCAATTACATGATAACAAACGGATATATCCGATTAAATTGTATATCCGATGAAAAATTTGATCGGTTTTTCAATCAAATTTCATCGGTAATTGCATTTCATCGGATATATCCATAATTTAATCGGAAAACGTAATCGGAAAAATTAACCATCGGACATACTATTTAATTGGTTTATACGATGAAAATTTTTCTCAGTGTAGGTACATACATAAAGAAACTAATTTGTTAGAAATGCTATGATCATCATATTGTTATTTGAGATAATTTTACCACGAAATTATCTCGAATAATCATCTCTTTGTTCGGTGCGATGACAAGTGACATTTGAGAGACGTCAAACTTTATATGAGATTCGCTCGCTTATACGGGGAAAGGCACGGTACGAAATAAACGTGATAATTTGCGATCTTGTAATAGTATCGTATCATTGCGTTGAATCAGGAATTTCCAATTCCACGATCGTCACGGTCAGTTTCATTTGTGGAATATTACAACTTTCAGATAAATTACATTGTTTAAATTTATCCGATCAAGTAAAACCCGATAAAGAGAATTATTAATTTTAAATTGACGCAATAGAATGACTGCTATTTATTGCAGATTTTATTAATTAACGGAACCATTAATGTTAAATGGCAAAGTATTTATTACGTTTACAAAATCCTAATAAAATAATCTCGGAAGGAATCAAGGTTATCTCATTTTACATACAATTATATTTTATGTTAAGATACAACATTGTGCCGCTTTATGAATTCTTCAGAGAATAATTTTATATATCATCAGTAATCACAGATTTTATATAGGTTGCATTTTAAGTTTTTGAAATCCCATTCACGAAATCACAAATGAATACAATAAAAGGCATATACATATATAAATAAGTAATATATTTAAAAAATTTCAAATATTTTTAGAAACACAAATCGATACATGATAATAATTGGGAATTTAATGGTAAACATTGATTATCCGAAACGTATGTAGTGAATGTTCTAGCTTCGAGTCTTCCACTTCTCGTACTCGTGAATAAACATACGTAACGGATCGTTCTTACGGCTGCGAGGCATTTCTCGAAGCGTTTCGAGGGCTTGACGGAGATCATTATTACATTCACCGAAGCGCTCTGGCCAGCGCTCGCGGTATCTTTACACCTCGCAATGCTTTTCAGTTCTGCTTTCCGCTTTCTACGAGGCCAGAAAGCACAATTACTCCTTGTTGCAATTCAGACAAAGTTTTATACCGATATCACGTTGGCCTCCAGTTGCAACGCAGTGCGTCCCATTTAAAGTTACATCGAAATAATTTGAAAGTAGTAGGAAAAAGGGGCTGCTTTTCAAAGGACTCTTGATAGCATATTTTTATTCTAAAAGATCATTCCCGAGATTTAAAGATTAATCCCGTTTTGGGAAATAAAGTCACATATTTTTTTTATGTATAAATCTCCTTATTCTATAAAAACGAGCTCGATTGAAAAGTGAATATTTTATGAGATATTCTACTTATTTCGACCGATGTGCTTTGATTTAAAATATAATCTACATGTGAGACAGATATAAAATAATATTCTGCAAATTATACGTTTTTCGATGAACTTACTGTAATATTGCACTATTTAAACGCAGAATAGTAAACAGAATCGATTGCTGGATCCAACTCTTTATTTATAAATGCGCAATGTGCAATACAATGCATCGGTAATCGCATTTTTTTTAATGCATGTTCTTTTACATGTTCTCTTTACATAAACATATGAAGTGCAAGACATGCAGTGCAACAATTTCTTCGGGTTATTAAGCCAGCTGTCGCGCGTTTAATAGTTGATACAGTAAACGTAAGGATACGTAAACTATAATAGAAAGATACAGATAGTTTTCGCGTGATTTTAAACTCACCGATATTCTATCGATGCCAACTCCTGTAATATTCCCGCGTCTCCTTGTTCTAAGTAATCGTAATCGCCATTCATCGTAAATCGCAGATTGCAATTGTACAATTATCCCACACAGTACTATGATTACAATACAAAGGAAATCACACGAATACAGGCTTCGATGCACTTGCACGACAATCTTCGTTGTACGTTCGTACTTTCTCAGATAAATGTCCGCGATTCACGGGGACGGTCGCGAATTAACATACCAGCGTGTTATCATCGCGGACCCTTTCGACTTGCATAATCCACGCATCACACTATTCCGAAATATGGAAGCAAATCTCGTGAAACGTTCGCATAAGCGATCCACGTCGCTTCCGCGATTTTCGCGCGGTTTTCTTTTCGCGAGAACTGCGGATCCGAGATATATCGCGAGACCGATCTGTCGAGCGTTCGATCAGCAACTGGAGTCACGCGTCGAGAAGTATACAGGTAGATTGCAGGTACGCTGCTCCTATCTGCTCGCCTCCACGTCTCTCCCTTTCTTTCTCTTTCTCCCTCCCACGTGTCTCTCCCGCTCGCAGCTTCCTTCTCTCGCTCTCACTCGTCCGCTTTTCCTACCTTCGCCCCTTCCTTTCCGCGCCGCTACGCGCTGGAATTTGCGAAATTGACGCGAGAGATCGATCACCCCGCATATCTTCGTCGGTGGAAAATGCATTAATATACATTCGTACGCAAGTTACGCGATCGTAACGTATTCAGGTTTCGGACAGGAATTAATCGCATTCTCGCGCGGTTTTTTTTCTAAAGGATTGAAATTGTTCAGCAACCGGTTCGCCTTTTCTTATACAAAATGGTCTGCCGCTACTAATAATGCATAATCAGAAAAAGGGTAACACAAAATATTATACAAAAAAATTTAAGGATGATATTGTACAAAACATACAAAAAGAGGATAATACAAAATAAATTTTAATTTTTTAGACTCTGACATTTCAGAAAGGAAAGATTTATAACTTTGTTTATATTTTCTCAAGCTTGAAAGAATTTTAACTACAAGTTATATCGTCGAACGTATCTTAACACAACGACCGTACCAGACAAGTAAAAGAGCGCAAAGTTTTATTTAGTAAAGTAATTAAAAATAATTGAAGTTACTAAAATGAGATTGTGTATAAAATATCTACTACGTTTTTTTCATAACGCACTTCATTTGTTCTCACAAGTTGGTTTAATATTAATTTGCGAATTATTACGAGAGGTTTGCGAGGTTAAAAGTTGCAATCTTTCAAAAAGCAAAACTAAGAACGGTTTCAAGACCTTTGAAGGAGAAAAACCCAGAATCGTTCGACGAACTCAGTTTCCCTCTTCTTAACACTTTCCGCCAGTCTCCACGCTTATTGTAACAACACGTGCACAGGTTGAAAATGTCACTGTGCGCACGCACGAGATAACATTTTCATTCTATTATGCACGGTCATATGGCAAATGTAAAGTAACGGAGGAACAGCACAAGAGGAGACACTATAATAAAAACGCTTTATTGATACAATTAAGAGCGCTAAGAATAAAGAAACGCTGAGAACGGAGGTGATAAAAAAAAATAGGAAGGGTTGACTGCACTCATTAACTCATTAACTAAGTGTCTAAGTGTCTAAGTATGGTCTTTCAACCCGGAAACGCACATTAAACTGCAGTTATTCCGGCCTTTATATACACGTTGTAATTTGCCAGATGTAGAGATTGGTCGAAAAGCAGTGTTTTTTTTCTCCTATTGAATTTCGTTAATGCAAGAGATTAATCTCTACACCTTTCGTGGAGCTGCGATAAATATAAGAAATAATAAGTCGTATGAATATACGATCAATTAAGCAAGCGCTTTAGAAAAGGATAGAAATACAAGCATTTTAAAATAAGGACGAGGTAAAAGTGTATCTCGCATGAAGAATTTTAATGCGAACAATCTGTAAGTGTATCAAATGTTATTCAATTGAGACTAAATTTAATAATAACTTAACGTTATATTTCATTTCTAATTTTTATTTTTCATATCTTTTTCTTCCCTGTGTCTTCTATGACCCCCAACTTTTAATTTTCTCGCTACCATGTTGTTTTCCCCTTGCGCTTCTTAGCGCCACACTGCGCGCAATTCGTAATGCGCGATTCGTGATTTGTGATTCGCGGAAATTCGTTGGACGTTCGTTATTACTTACCACACTATTCGTGATTCGTAGTTTATCACTCGTAATTTGTTATTTGTCGTCTCGTGTTAACTTGGACAACTGTTAACCCAACTGTTAACCTTTACCTGCTATCACAGGACTTGTATTATAATGAAAACAGGAAACTTGTAGTCAACCCAACTAGCATCTTCCTTTATTTATTTAATACAACGTTTTGACCCTATTTTTTGGTCCTTATCAAGTGATACTAATAGCGAATTCGGTTGCTTGTACTAGTGCGCACTGAGTGCACACTAAGGCTTGTTTGTATAGTCAGTTCTTATATTTAACTTTGTCTGAAATACATGTTCAAAGAGTCAATTTTCAAAGAGTCAAGACAGTATTTAGTGCACACTAAGGCTTGTTTATATAGTCAGTTTTTATATTTAACTTTGTCTGAAATACATGTTCAAAGAGTCAATTTTCAAAGACAGTATTTAGTAAAAAAAATGATCGGTGTAAACGTTGTTTGTACAGACTTTACTTCAGGTCCTTTTCAAGTAACAAGCCAGTTGGGTTGACAATAAGCTCACTTGTAAAATTTTTAATCATCACTGGCGACTACAAGTGACATTTTTCTTTTGTCGAGTAGTCAAAAAACCACTATTTTCGTAAAAAAACCACTCGACTAGCGAATTACTGCGAATGGCGAATTGCGAATTGCGCACGGCGAATCGACCAAGTTTTCTTCCACGCTATTCACGAATGTTCGAATCACGAATCGCGCCTAGTGTGGCGCTAGCTTTACAATCGAGACATTGAGGGAATTCAATAGATCTTTTAGCTTGACAAATAAAACAATAATTTAGTAGCTTCAACTCTAATATTATTCGTATAATACCCAGTATAATTGATTACAAACACCAGCATTGTAAAAGAGAGAAACCGTCAGGATAAATAATTTGAAGACGAACGCTTTGAAGGAATCCACATTTTTCTCGCACCAACCGTGATTATTATATACGAGACATAGTTGGCAGCCGTCTTCTTTCTTTTTCTTTGTTTCACTATCCAGCTAATTAGTTTTCTTTATGCACTGAGCGCACGGCAGAGCCTGCTGTAACCTTCTAGAGCATATCTTCTCGCCTCGAGGCGCTTGGTGCGCATACTCTCGTGTATCGCTGCGATATATTTTTGCACGCGACGACAACTGAGCTAAAGAGTAAGTGAACGCCGCGTTCCAAAAACACACGGCGCGTAAAACTTTCCTGAAATTATCTGTTTTCATAATAAATCACGCGTAAAGCTTTCGACATACGCAGGTGATTTTAATACCGTAAAGAAAAACGCAACAGACGAAAACTGTTTTCACCATAATACAACGTTCCCACCAGAGTGAAACTCTCTTCCTAATTATTTCCGTCTACCGACCACTTCCTAGTCGAGGATGAGAATTGTAGTGTACAAATTGTAATGTGCAGATAAACGTTAAAATAATATTTCGATAAATATCTTCGGGGGGGGTTTTTTTTTCGCAAGGTATGTAGCTGCCGGAGAACTAAATACCAGAGTACTGGCTAATACGTGTGCAGGTAATCCGCGATGCACGGCGAATACAAGTCGAGCCGCGCAGCGCCACGTAGTCGGATGCGGTCCGGCACACTGAAAAGTTAATCGTGCGCGCCTCTTTACGGTATCCTCCTTTACTGGTATACGTCGTTGAAATGTCTGCTCCTGTCTACGTGCAGCACGCATTGCACATCATGCCCGGCCATTACCTCTACACAAGTACGTACTACATACAGCAAGAGCTTGCCGTATACAGTGCCGTACGAAACCGTTAACGTACGTAAGATTTACGATAACGTTCACGGAATCTCTCACTTTTCACTGCTTCTCTGGCGAACAAAAAAACACGAGAAAAGGAAAAGAAGGGGACGAAAACCAAGAATCCGGAATTTATCGAAACGAATAGATTTGAAAATCAAGAAACTTCGGGGGGAAAAGGATTTAATTATGAATTCAGTTTATGTAATGTAAACCAGGCTTAAGTTGTTAAACAATATACACTCGCTTTCACCAATGTTGGTTAACCTTAAGCTTACTTCATTCTTCTCTTTCTAAAGGGACATATAGAAAGAAACGATGGATGAATGAAGCCAAGTTTACAGTTAAACGATGTCGGTGAAACCAGACCATTGTCATCTCTAGATTAAAGACATGTATATTGATTGCTAGTTTTAATATTTGAGTGTTGGTATAGCTTATAAAATTTAAGTCCTCAATTCTTTTTTCCGTTCGAATAAATGCCAAAGAAGAAAAGTCCGAAAATTACGAAGAGAAGAATTTTTTTCTTGAAGAATCGTACATCTTCTCTTTACGAGAACATTACGTTTCGTGTACCGCATAAATTCTATTTTGATTGTTACTTCATTTTATATTTTATGTTTTATCATTAAAAATTGAAACGGTTTGAAAAGGAAGCACGAAAGAAATCCCGTTCATGTAGGAGGCAAAGTAAGGATTTTAAGGATCCCTCGGGCTCGTAGAAAATAACAAATCGCATTGTCCGGACGTGAAATCGAAATTGGTTTGTTAAAATCAATTTTCGAAATAAACATTGCGACTCTAGAATTTTCTTCGTTTTCGCGTTGCGCTTGGATTCTCTTCTCTCCTCATTGTGTTTGCCGTCTCGCAATTATTTCTTCTTACGACAGTATGTTACAAGCAAGACTTCTCGGCATCTCGCATACGAAACTAAGCGAGGAATACACTTACGTCAGAGCAAAATGGAATTCAAATGATATGAGCTTGGAATTTCAACGATGGCACTTGCGCCATTTCTAATGAAAACGCGTTGTCCGTTTCGATGTCGTGGCCACTTCTGATTTTCCAATGACGATTTATCGACGTAACGATAATTGCATCATTATATTATAAAAAAATGGACGTAATATCGTAATCTTTTCTCTCGCGCTCGTTTTCTCGTTGAACCTAATCATCGGCAATTACTTTCTCTGAAAAAAATTTCGCACGAACGATAATAGCAAACCGAAACATTATTAAAATCGAAAATATTACCCACATATATGTCACAATCAGAGTAGTTAATCAGTAATAGTCGACGACTATTTTAGCATTATATTACCTTTGTTATATAAGTGAAGTTTTTAAAAACTCTACCTTATGTAATTTATTTTACGTAACGTACGTATTTCTTTTTCATTTTATATATTCTGATCATCTAGAACAGGTATAATTTTGGTAATAAATTCAATAAAAAGTACGACATGTTATTAAAAATACATTTTACAATTTTCTACAA